ACATTGCGAGTAGCTGGAGGGCCATGCAAACATTACACCAATGCACATACGCCTGTCTTTCCCCACAAAAAGCCGACTTGAATTGAGGATACGTGGGCCACATTTGTTTCAATTTCTTACAAGTACCCTGTCGTTGTTATCGCCTAACTGGATCTAGCATAATGGAAGTAGATCGAACGTGGGATATCTCAGGCATGCTTCGTGGAGTGAAATGCTTAGATGTAGCCAGGGTTGGGACAAAGCGAATTCCTGTGTGCTAAAGGGACACTGTACGCAGTACATATATGGATCTCGTAATGTTAGAACGCGGAATGTGTGGCAATACGATTTATTACGATATCCTAAGCCCTGTTTTGCGAGACACCCTAACTGTCTAATTTACAGCTGAGTAACCCGTATGGTTGTCGGAGAACTCAACATCAGCAAGTAAGTATCAGTTTTACTACGAGTAGTATGATTATTGTTCGTAAGGTAACCGGGCTGGAAAACTGCAACATATTGTTTGGTAACTTCGAGCATACTTTTACTGGGCAACTGTACCGTGCACGTTCCGGTCTTTGAGAACAGAGGAGTACAATAGAAGTGGAACAAGGATAAGCGAGGGGAGACAAGTATACAAGATCTCGTTCTGAACGACGCGCGGATGTTGACCAATGTGATACTGAGTACACAGCTGACTGAAGAATCTCCGGAGGCGCGTAGATTTCACACTTGGTCACCATATTTCTTCACACTGAAAAACACAAGAGTTAATGATTAGGAAGTCGCGGGTAGCAGGTTTTGACAGATAGGAACTATACATTTATGATATCGTTCGGTAAGGTGGGAACAGTATGGCCAAAAGTGATACAGATACGACTGGATGTAGGAGACATTCTGCTTTGATATGAGGCTGACATCAATTTAGTTAGGCATTCGGGCATTGTTTAGTTGGTCCTAAATGCTATGATTTCTCCTAAGTGAATCACCGTCCGATGAAGGCGAGAATTCGCAGGCTGCGCAATGAAGGAACACCACTGATTCATACCTTTCAGAGCCAACTCCACTCGAGGAATAGGCTAAAATTCAGAAGTGACGGTCCATCGTGTAGACAAGACTACATGAATTCCGTTAATCTAGAATATTCACTCTGAGTTCAGAGTGCAAGTATCACGGGCCCCAGGTGATACGGGTAGATTTCGGTCCCTCAACACCACCAGAAATTAGGGGTAAGGCGGTATGGGGTTGTGCGATGAATGCATACTAGTTTCGTGTGGAACATGCATAAACATAGTAGGCCTGGGGAGGGATCCAGTCGCTGGAACTTCACACACCCAACGCGGTTCGCTTCGGTACAAGAGGTCACCAGTTAAGTCATTGGATCCGAATGAATCTAATAAAGATTTCAGACTCATTATCTACAGCAATCTACCTTGTCAGAGAACAAATATATCGAGTAAACAGATTTCCAGTTAGACCCAGATGTTTCTCATGATATCATCCTAGCTGGAAAACAATGGCACAAACTCAGCACTTAACCATCGGTTCAAATATCAGCGGGTTCAATTCTCCCCACTACCGTTGTGAAGCCTCACCAATAATGAGACCACCAGCTGATTATGGTGAAGTTGGTACGACAAGCGATCGGAAATGAAAGTGTCACTGAGTCGCAATTAATAAACAGTCTGAATGAGAATAAACTGACATGAAAACAGGATTCCCAGTAAAGTCTTAGCCTTGCACTGGAAGGATGTGTCAACGAGATAAACTTTATCACGCTCAGAAATCAAGCCGTACGGTGGTACAACCACAATAAAACATCCTACGAGTGAAACTCAGTGAAGCTCCGTTAACTGTTCAGAAAAATTGAAAGTAACATCACCTGTTCAAAACAAGCGTCCGAGGAATAAAACCTACCACATCTGAAGTAAAAACTGTGCATTTTGAATTTGTTCTGGAGTGCCCGTGATAGTAATGATGCGGTCTTCAACACCAGGTTCCTGTCGACTAATCTTTATGTCCGCATTAGACTCCTGACGGACCTGGTTGATTCGAACACCAGCGCGTCCCATGATGGCGCCGATCATTTTGTTACTAACGGACACCTGTGTTGTCGTGGTGGGGGTGAGGAAGTTCATCGCCACGCGGTTAGGAAGTCTGTAGCAAAAGACAGAGAATTGCTTCTCAATCATCCCTGATCAACAAAATAAACTGTTCGACTAACCAAAAGGTTGCATAAGCTAACAGTTCAAGAAGACCAATCCAGGAAAGTGAACCGTGAATGAAGTAGCACAAGGGTCTTGAAAAATGACAATGTGTCGAGGTTCGTATTTAACCTATTTGAGTATTGTTTATTCGAATATGGTACGCAGTGATACATACTGACGCTTGCTCAGTAAAATTCAATTCAGTTTGATTACCATGCCCCATGTACGTGTGTACGCTGGTTCGGATCACGGCGGCTCATGTTAGCAGATGGTGCTTGGTGGAGGGGGTTGGAACATTTTCAAAAAGAAAACCTAAAAGAAAGCAGTGGGCTAGTGACTAAAAGTGGGAATAGGCACAACACCGCTAGCATTGGTATGACACCTCCGACCATTGATGTGGTTGTTGGTTCGCAAAATACATGCAACAGTACAGCAAGTCCCTTTGCGTGCACTGTGCACCCTCCATGCACTACCCCAACTGCAGCCTGACTCGTCAAACAGGGCACGGTGAGGTAATCGGCCACCTGGCATGTGACGAACACCGCAGAGTCGGTGTAGCCGAATAAACTCATCAAATAGATAATTAGTCTTGTCACCAAAAGCCATTCGTCGTACATCAACATCGCTAATTAAATTTCCCCACGATATATGGCAATACTTCGAACAATAAGCAGCCTTCCCTGATCAACGGACGGCTACACAACCCGAAAGCAATAGTGAAAGCTTGGGCAACTTGGCAGCATCTCAGCCTTTGTGTTTCCTTCGGATGGCATGGCGGTTATGTACCGAAAGGATAATACAGCTAAACGCCAAGCCAAACCAAGTTTCAGGAAAAGTTGCACGAACCGTGTGCAGTTGGTTGCTAGAAGGTGATCCATCTGATCTAACGCGACGAATGACTAGTAACGTTGATGCTGATGTCCTTTTTGTGTTACACCCAGGTCTTTGGATCCAATATGACGCCACCAGCCTGATGATGAGAAAAACCCAAATGCTATTAGTGCAACAGCGCCCCACGAGTTGGGACACTAGTAAACACTGCACATGGGCCTAAGGCCAATCTTCAAAGAGGCAGCATAACAAGGTAAGCGGTACGCTAGGATACCACTCGGGGACGACCTATCACACGCTTATTGGCAACAATCATCGACCAGCTTCTACACGATACACAAGAACGACCCCAAAAAACGGAAGTTACGAAGAACCCTGGGAACGTCCGTAGGCTGTCCCACTCGATCGCCGTAGGAAGTCTCCTGTCAGCGAAAGCTCCTCGGACCAGAATGGCTGTCTGATATTCGGCCGTTGCGTAAAGTACTTCGAACAACAATCTAGTTGACCACCTGCTACCTCTAGTTAGGAATAAAGGTCAATAAAACAGTGGACTGTGAACATGGACACTCCTTCAACCTCAGGGGTTCTTGAGTGTATACTTCTACTCCAATGATAATCTGGGGAAAGACCGTCACACACAACTGGGATGAGTTGATAATGGTGCCAAATTTCAGAGGACACTAGCGATGAATGTAGTAACCATACTGACATCTGTTTGACTCCCTTTGAAACAGGGCTACCGGGTTCACCGATTCTGTCTTCTGACAGCATGCGGATCCTTGATCGTTAGCTGTAGCAACCCTTTCGGTGTGTAGCTGCCATGCCACCCGAAAGTAGCACGAGGGTTGGGATACTGCCGAGTTGCCCAAGCCCAGACAAAGGGAAGACGAGAGGCACAGGTCAGGTTCGAACCAAGGACCTTCCAGTTAGTGAATTCGCGCTCTAATCACTTGGTCAATCTCGCCCCCGGATCCTTGACCCATGAACATCAAGCGTGATTTCGACCGGTAGAGGCTGCGTCTTTTGCACACTCCGTCAGATATTTGGGCACCGCCATTTGTACAGACGATACAATTTCGGTATTCCTTAACTTCAAGAGTCCATTCGATTCTGTGAATCGGTTAGTGCTGTTAACCAAACTTGCTCAACAGGGTAGGTCACCTCGGATTACGATGATTACGACCATAACCAGGTCGTGCGCCACGCATAAAACGTAACAAAGGTTGCACCGGGCTCGATAGCAGTGAAATTTAATCGGATAGGTTTATGTGTGAATTTGAAACTACTAACCACAGCCAATCTTGGAGCCCAGTAATCTCTCTTCCTAGGAAAAAGTCACCATAAATTCCGTCAGATTACAAACAACTGGATAGTACATCAGTCGCGGCAGGTGTAGCAATTATAAAAGGATCATAAGCAAGTTATACACTGTTATCGTGCCATTCGGAAGAGTTCAAAGCAGAGCTTTGTGCGTGTGGCACATGGCGAAAAACTATTCCGCCGATTACGCAAGACCGTTTTTTATTTACGGTTACGTATGAACTGCGTCAAACGATAGGTCGGAACTACCTGGTTCATACAGCGCCAGCTACGTGAACCAAAGCGGATATAACCAAATGTCAGGAGTGTCAAACGATAGGTCGGAACTACCTGGTTCATACAGCGCCAGCTACGTGAACCAAAGCGGATATAACCAAATGTCAGAAGTGAGTGTAAACCACGAGGCACCGAACCAGTGCAACACAAACTGGAAATACCAGCCACATTATCAGTATTGACGACATATTTGGCACTGATTGCACGACATGATCATACAGTCACCAATTTATGTAGCCGAGCTTTGTGCACCAGCAACACAGGTGGAGCATAGCGACCCGGCAATTTTCATGTTGGCCCATTAAATGAATGTAACAACTTGTGTTTCAATGGGGCCAACTTACCGAATGCGACGGAGCTTTGCGATGAAAAAACTTAGTTAATTCTAAGCACTAGACAGTAGATAATAGCTCAGCTGTAGCACTCTTTCGGTGCCTAGCTACCATGCCACTCAAAGGAAACACGAGGGCTGGGATACTGCCAAGTTGCTCAAGCCTAGACAGGGGAAGTAGCGAGGGCAGGGATCGGATTCGAACCAGACCTTTCGGTGAGTAAATTCGCGTTCTAACCACTGAACCACCTCGCCATCCTAAATACTAGGTAAACAAAATCAAAGTAGTCATTCGGACAATGCGATGGCTCCTCAATAGTGCGTGATGCGTGTTCACACTCAGACATAATGACGCTATTCTGTGTTGCGTTCCTGGGAAGCACTTCTTCAGTAACCGAATTCGAAATCAACGCGCACTAGGCACAGCACAGTCGTGCAAACATAAATGGACAAACATACTCAGTCCTGACTAAATGTTCTAATTTTGAATCCCGGACCCATACCACGCAATATAAGCAAAAAAGTAAGACTGAGCTGAAAATTTCAAAACAGTGTACGAAACACCATTAAGGTTACTTCTCCCAAAAGCAGAACTTTTGAATTTTGAACGGACTTCCATCACCGCACAATCATGGCTTGTGAAGCTGCCCCGATTAGTAAGCCGGTGAACAAAATCAAATTCCTACCTCTAAAGACTCCGACGAACCAAGGGGAGCCGAAATACTGATGCAATACTTCACATTTTGAAGATGTAAAACGTATAGCGAAACCAGGGGTCATATCCGAAATTCTATTCAAAGTAGAATGCCCGAATTAGTGGTTGTCAAACAACACAATAATAGCGTCAACATAGTCCAGGTCAACTAGTCTTTCGAAAAATGTGACTTCAATACACAAAGCCTGGACCCCTAAGTGTGCATCCAACGATAACATCGGTGGTCCGAATTCATTGTGGTGAATAACAGGGCGGTTATTTCTCGACAGCGTCCTCCCTCGAACCAGTGCAACAGTTGTTCAACGATGGAACAATAACTGAGAAACAAAGAGCAGCCGGCTTTTCAACCGTTGGCAGTGCTTATGAAAAGCGCGACCGGCACAGGGGTGAGTGTTTTCAGGTGTTCAATAAAGCGAGAAAGCTTCAGATCCCGAGCTGAGGCGTTACGCACGTGCATATTCGATGGAATCCGAAAAGCCCCCAGCAACAAAAGTTGAATACCAAGTTTTAAGATCACCACTAAACACATCATAAGTCCAGCAGCCATCATTGCAGCCGCCGCAGCAGCGTCACCTGCGGGACCTGCGTTAGGACCCCCAGCAGTCTGACCGCCAGTAGCGGCAAGCATTGCTGCAGCTGAAGCATGTGGAAGGCTACTCGCCAAAGCTTGAGTAACTGCGGCAGCTTGTCCACCGGTACGACCAGCAACTGTGACTCCTGTTCCACCTCCTCCAAAAAGTCCTGCTGCAAGGACATTATTCTGTAGAACAAAGGGAGAAATTGTGGCAACAGACGTGGAAAAGGGAAAAGGTGATCAACAGAGAACGCGGTGGAATAGCTCCTATGTTGCATGTATAATACTATCCCAAAAGTGGTATTGTGCTGAATATCTCATTTAGCTTACGATTCAGTGTACCTGGATCGATACGGTAGCTCAGGACAAGTGGCAACCCAAATGGGTGATGAAATCTAGTGGGTAATAGATATAAGTATTTGTCGTAAACATTCATAGGGCTTATGGCAAGTCTTCAAAAGACAAGAAAAGCAGCTCGGTTATGACATCCTTTCGTGAAACGAAGTATCGCAAAGGCTGAGATGCTAACAAGCTTAGACAGCGACGATCCTAAGGACATAACAATAGACGAGCCTGAGCGAGGCGGTCCGGTTGGGAAATGATAATAAACGCATCACTAGGGCTGGTTATTTCCTCCAGAGCTTCCAGCGACGTACAACCAAAACCACGTGAGCCCCCAACCTGGGAGGAGTGAGCAACTTATGGTAGTAAGTTCCACTGAAGGAGCTTTTACTTTACGTTGTCGTGCTATGGTCTGTCTCGCCCGAACATTTCGACAAATTCTTGGTCAACGAAGTCTGCATTGTATAGCAGACGTTAACTGACTACGGCGCTTATGACATGACAGTCCATGACTGAATAGATTGCGCAGTTAGACCAGCAGATGAGGCTTATTCGATTACACTGATTCTTAGGCATGCGATACGTATGTTCGACTGCCGTCCAAAGAAAGCCGTTTTCCACTCCAAACCATTGTTGGCGAAAGATTCGAGAATGACGGGTCATAACGTGGCAACGCGAAAGCAATTCTTGTTCAGTTAAGCGCCGTGGGGTCTTCGAACCTTCCTGGCTGGGGTCTACATGATTTCTGTATGTGGTTGGAAAACCTGCAGGACATGACTCAAGAGTTACCTTTACCGATAGGAATAGTCGTTCAACTGAAACACCGTTCGGTATGCAGCTACAATGACGGCAGCGAAGCAGCAGTGTTGAACGCTGTCATGCTGTCGATGACGATGACGTAATGCCATCGAAGGAAGCACGAGGGCTGACATACTGCCAGGTTGCCTGACCCTAGACGAGGGCAGTCGAGACGTGGAGGTTGGGTCGGAACTACGTACATTCCGAGCAGTGAGTCTGTGTCTAAACCATTGAGCTGTTTCGAGTTTGGGATAGGTCGATCGGACTATAGGAGGGCTGAAGAACGAAAGACAACGGTGAATGCTCTGGCACAAAAAGCTTGGAGAAGCGGCATAAGCAGCCTTCTTGGACCAAGGCAAAAGGAACTGTTCATTCCAGGACAGAAGACAGCTGGCTTCTTAATACATCACCGACAACTTTGGTGCCACACCATTCTGAGTTGATTCCCAATATTGGATTACGCTTCATCTGATACGACAGTTGGTGGGTTTGACGCATGCTGCCTTTCGAATCCTCGGACCACACGTGATTTCTGATGCAAGTAGTAATAGGCCTCCTTTCGATTTGCTTGCATGCCCCTGATGATGGAGACAGGAAAGCTTCCTTCACATTTCCGAGATTACGGCATATCGTTGTGGCATCATCTAAAAAGGAATGGCAAGTACGACCCTCCACTTCAGCAAAAATTCGCCCTCATTGCGATTGCGTCGCTTCTAGCTGATTTCGGCCATAGTGCTAAGACATCGGTGGACGTGAGGATGTCACTGATTCCCCGTACGAGGCGGCCAAGTCTTTCAATCGTACAACAATACGGAGACCCAACGATATGCCTGTTCGATGCCATAAGCAGCTATATTGGAAAGCGCAAGTCCATCGGGATGGAGTTAGAATTAGGGCAACTTACGAGGTGCGTAGTGTACCACAGCCTTCGGTTTCACTCCCAGAAATCTCAGATACATGTTGAAAACTGCACGTCCTGCAGCATGAGTTTGCACTCTGGACGCAAAGCATATATTCAAGGACAGGATGACCTTGGTAGGATTTTTCCAAAACTATGTCAGCATATTCCAGGCCAATTTTTTTTCTTTCGAAGAGATCTGAACAGCAAGGTATCGCAGGCCTTCCAGTGTCCGCCTCATTATAAGCAACAACAAAATTAAACGATAATGGAAAACGGTTACCCATGTCGGAGAAAAGCTTTTGCAGTTCCCCATACACGGTGCGCCAAGTTTGTGAAATACAAACGGGGCTTTCGTTAGTACTGCATAAAGTCCGTGGTTAGCGCATAACTACAGCACGTCCTAACCACGTCTTTGTTAGTCCTAGCTGACAACTCAATTGGGACGCAGCAACGCAATCTAACTACTTACGTATTCAAACTCCGGAAATCATAGCAATATCTGGGCTCTTAGTGCATCGCAATAAAGTGCATAAATCATCGGGGGGGGGGGCTAGATGGCTCAAGTGGTTACAGTGCGAAGTTACTGACCGGAAGGTCGCGGCTCAAACCCGAACTCTGCCCCTCGATTTCCTCTATCCGGGCTTGGGCAACCTGGAAGTATCCCAGCCCTTGTGCTTCCCTCGGNACTCTGCCCCCGTCGATTTCCTCTATCCGGGCTTGGGCAACCTGGAAGTATCCCAGCCCTTGTGCTTCCCTCGGGTGGCATGACAGACAGACCTTGGAAGAATGTTACATCTGAACGGTTTTTTAACAGCATAAGCCGTCGTAAGAGCTGTATCTGACTGCATCTAAACTAGACTTTTTGGCGTAAGCAGATGGGACGAACAGGCAACGATCACCGGTACGCTTACGGGGCACCCACACGCGTTGCCAAGCCAACCGCAGTTGAAAATCAACCACTCAGAGACCCTTCAGTTTGGTGACGTCGGAAAATACCAACCTGAGCAAAAACGGCCGCAGTGGCTTCCGAATCACCTGAGTTTCACAACCAGAAGCGAGCCGAAACCGACAGGGAAGTCAGTTTAAAAACCGGTCTTAAATCGTTTGAGACATTGCGATGGAGAGAAAGTCCAGCATGTATCTGTGTATGTATGCAACAGCAGACTGTTGTCCAGCTTTTTCGTTATATCTCAATGGGTCGCCGAGGTACACAAACCGCCATACCACGGTGAGGTTCAGTCTCGTTGTGACGGAGGATGCGGACGTTAAAGGCCGCCAGGTTCACTAAGCGTTGACCACAGCCGTGTCCAGTTTATTGCGGTAAACGGCAGTGGGCAGTGCATAGGTCAACTGATCCCCACTTGACAGCCCACTGACAATGCTGGATTTATGAACCAATTTACCAGCTCCCGCCTGCAATACGCAGCTACCTACCCCCTCTCCCCAAATCACCGATGAACGAAACTGCGGCAGCTACAACAACTGTACGATGAGTACGCGGGTATTACAGCTGAGTGATGTGCAGCAGGGGACACTTCGAGACGACCGACGTGGCAAATGTGCAGTTCACGGCTGTCTGAGGACTGGGGTCATCATCATCGACAGCATGACATCAGTGTTCAACACCAATGCTTCACTGACGTACAACCATGATTTACTTGAAAGCCTTATTGTAAAGAGTAAAGATGGACGGGGAAGGGACTTAGAGCTAGCTTACCACAATCATTCCGAGGTGCCTAAACCTCCAGACATTCACTCAGGCAGTCTGAATAGAAACTGACAAGAACGCCACTGACATCGGTTGGCA